TATCATGAGTTTCCAGGATTTTACCGAGATATAGTGATTAGAACATTTTTACTTTTTACATATCTCAAAAATCTGATTCAAGGCAATCTTGATGCAATTCCACAACAACCATGTTGCCGGTTTCAGGGATAATAAAGAGGCAAACCACCTTTTTAGGAAGGTTATTAATTACATTCATTTTGGAAGAATGTGCATGTTCATTTTGGGGGAATTCTGAGATATGGAATAACTGAGGAATGCAATGTGGTGCACATAGGAAGTATAAAGAATAGTCTGACTCTAGTTGATAATGATATGCAACCAGGATTGTGTTGATCACAAGCAAGAAGCTTGAGCCCGCTGCTAAAGAGCAGGTTTATACAATGGAACAAATGCCCTCCCAACACACTGAGGGAATGACTTTTAAATGGAAGAAATAAACCGATAAATGCTTTGGACATAATGAACCCTTGTAACCATGACAGCATTATGAATTTAAGATTGATGTTTGTTTAGTTAATTGTTTTTCTTCTGGTTTAGGCTATATAACATGTACACATTTACATGTGCAAAACCTTATGATTAATGTAATAACTCAATCAACCATAAAGTAAAAACATCAAAGTTGACACTGATTTGCTGACTCAAGCTACTTTTAATATTCTGAAAGTCGATTTCTGTAATAATACCACCTGGAAATGAAGCTTAATGTACCTGTAATGACTGATGGATTTGACATGTACTGTATCACTCATTGTTTACAGCAGCAGCATCAGTGTAGTGCAGGGGTGCCCAACCTTTTTTGAACCAAGAGCTACTTTTAAAGTTGCCAGTCTGCCGAGATCTACCAGACCAAATAGAGAGACGTAGCCATTACTGACCAGGTAAACTACCAGGTAAATACACACTGCTACTTGTATAAAACTGACCTTCGTATGATTAATACTTCATAAAATACTGCCTTTATCTTACCTCTTTCTAATCTACACACATACAAGTATTTAACTGAAGTTACACAACAGTGTTGTTGATACAGAGTTGGAGTTTATTCACACGTCACACTACAGTGGGTAATGTTTTCAATAAACATTGAACAGTGCTGCCACATGCCACAGGAAAAAAAGAAAAGACTCTGAACCCTTTATTAGCCATTATATAAAAATAGTGTTGCTACAAAAGTATAAGGCTTACTAATAAGAGAACTCAGATCTGAAGCTACACAGGAATCTGCTGCCAAAGTGCAATAAAAAAGACAAAATTAATAGAATCAAACCATTTTTTTTTGCATTTTAGGAGATTATAAAAAGAAATGCCTTCAAAATAGGATGCAAGCAACACTAGTTTCTTAACCTGAATTGATAATAGACTATAATCAATTTAAGTTTGCATTCTTATACCATTTTGTACAATAATTATAATGAATAAGTTCAAACAAACTAAAACTCACAGCTGATTAATAACGGTATCTAACTTGAGTTTTCATTATATCAAAAACCTGTTGAAATGTTACTGTTATTTTTACTGTCCCCCAAAAAGCGCGTCGGCAGCCTCCAGGAATGCTTCTTTCACAACTTCGCAGTCTTTGAAAGACTTCATGTGTTTCGCAAGAACGTGACTGACATGATAAGATGCTCTGGTAGCAGCCTTGCTCTTGGGCCTGGTGAAAATGGACTGCTGTGCATTTAGCTGTCCTTTCAGGCCCCTCCCCTTTTGGAGCGTAGGGCAGAATTAGGAGGGAATTCCGTCTCGTAGCGTTTGTGCACTGTTTTGAAATGCCGCTCCTAAATTACCCTTCTTCGATAAAGCTACGCTCGCATTGCAGATGAGACAGATGGACTTTGAATTGGAATAAATACAAAAATAATCATCCTCCCACTCGGAGTGAAAATTATATATGTTTTGCTTCTGCCATAATTGCGGTCTTGTTTGTGTGCGGACTGTCACTCCTGTTGATACGGACAACGTTAGCGAATTAGTGCACTGCCCACTAGCCACGCCCCGACACATGTGGTCATGGCGGCCAATCACAAAGCTTTGATGCGTTCAAGTGCATTATTCTGGCACAGGAAGATTATGTTATAGGACATTAACAATAAAACAGAATATTGTTGTTCTATTTTTAGACACATCTCGCAATCGACTGGGAATCTCCCCGCGATCGACCGGTCGATCGCGATCGACTGGTTGGGCACCCCTGGTGTAGTGTATTGATATTTGATTTGCATGTTGTTGTTGTTGTTGTACAGTGTGTTTGGTGTTTTGCTGTTGTGCCACATGCAACGCCTTGTTATAGCATGCCTTGGTATAATGCTATGTTTAAGATGTGGTCATGCCAATAAAGCTAATTTGTATTGGGATAGTGGTGGTCTAATGCAGTGGTTCTCAAATGGGGGTAGGCGGACCCCTAGGGGTACGTTGGAGTACTGCAGGGGGTACGTGAGATTTATTTTATGTTAATAAAAAAAGAGGAAAAAAAAAAGATAAATATACCAATTTTAGGAAAAGTAAGGAAGTTTGAGCAGTGTGGGTTTTATATTAATAGAGTTACACATATTTCAAAACACGAAGTGTAATAACTACAGTTAGCCTCCCTGTCAGAATGACAAAGATCCTCAGTGAAGCACAAAGTTTGAGAATCACCGCACTAATGGATAGTGAGGTGGGGTGAAGATCGGAAGGTTGTGAGTTCGAACACCACCACTAGTGTGCCCTTGAGTAAGGCACTTAGCCCTTAGTTACTCCAGGGAGAATGTCCCTGTAATTGGTCATCGTAAGTCGCTTTGGATGAAAGCGTCAGCTAAATGAAATGTATTTGTATTGTACTGTGTACTCACTCACCACCAGGGACCATCAGTGAGCTGCATCAAGATCCAGAGGTTCCTGTGACAGAACTCAACGAGTATCCTAACAATGAGAACTTCCATTTCTAGCCTGGTCTGTGTTCATAATGAAGTCTCTCCTCAGTATTCTTTGATTGTGAAAGACTAAGCAGGTTGGCTTCACATCAGGTTACAACAACAATCTTGATAAATCAAATCAAATCAGGTTTTATTTATATAGCACATTTTAAAAACGATTTTTGGTCGAGCCAAAGTGCTGTACATATAATAATTACCTTACACTATACAGACACTATACAGTAAATATAACAGCACAATTTGTTCAGAATATCAGTATGAGAAAAACGACACCCTCTGTCCTTAGACCCTCACATCGTACAAGGAAAAACTTCCAGAGAAAACCCACAGTTTAAAGGGAAACATGGGAGAAACCTCAGGGAGAGCAACAGAGGAAGGATCCCTCTCCCAGGACGGACAGACGTGCAATAGATGCCGTGTGTAAATCCAAGAAATAATACATTTTACAGCATATAGACCGAATGTTAGGAAATGCATGTGTCTGTAATAAGAAGATGAATCCACGAGGATGTCAGCTACAATCCTGTGGAAGCAGCATGACGAGACCCAAGGCAGGACCGCAGAGACAGGTTCAGCCACGACCCGAAGTCCACGACTTAATCCAGAACTCAGGATAGAGGATCCAGGACCACAGCAAGAAGATCAGCCTCGACTCCGGATCCCGGGGGAAATGTATAGACATAAAATAAAAATAAAATGTGGGGGAGGCTGGGTTAATCGGAATATGAGAGTACACAGACAGGCACACACAGGGAGCAAGGTCCCCACTGGAGCCTTAGTTGGAATTGGTGAGAGGTAAGGAGGTACGCTGTGACTACGGCATAACACTCCCCGGCCTGAATAAGCCACTCTGCAAACCTGTTTCCCTCTAATGAAACCTTGTGAGTTTATGGAGGGAAAAGGTTTTGGATAAAGAGAGGATAGAAAGAATAGATTACAGGAGTATAGAGTATGAGAAGTAGAGAGAGAACATATTTTGAAGAATGAGAAGTAGTAATAACCTTAGTTTTAAATATAAGATCCAAGTTTTTAGGATTTAAGTGAAAGAGCAAGAACCAAAATGTAGGTGAAGAGGCACAGCGTATCTGCGTCAAAGCACTCTCATTAGATTATTCTATCAACTATAAGCTTTATCAAAAGAAAGGTCTTAAGCGTACTCTTAAAACGGATAGGCTGTCGGTCGCCCGAACACAAACTGGAAGCTGATTCCACAAAAGTGGAGCTTGATAAGAAAAGGCCAGGGAGAAGAATTGAGTTTTAAGAGTTGATTTAAAAACCCTTAATGTCTGGGCCGACCTCACATGGAGGGGCAGAGTGTTCCAGAGCCTGGGGCCAGCCGCTGTGAATGCTCGGGTCTTAGGCACTATCAACAGCAGCTGATCAGCCGACCTTAAAGCTCTGCCTGGGGTGTAGCGCTGGAGGAGTTCGGCTATATAGGCAGGAGCCAGCCCATTTAGGGCTTTGAAAACAAATACAAGGATTTTAAAATCTATCTGAACCGAACTGGAAGCCAGTGCAATGAGGCCAGAATTGGGGTGATGTGGTCACGCTTTTTGAAGACGTGCAGCTGCGTTCTGAACTAGCTGCAGGCGTCTAATTGAGATGATTTATTACTCACAGGCTTGGTCTTAACCCGGCTGTTTGCTGTCGTCACTGCTGCTAAATTTAGAAACTGGCCATCTGAAAACTGACACCGAAACAGCCCCCCCCTTCCTGGTTGGAGTGAAGGTGGCTGTGGCATGGAAATATGACTATGATAAGTCAGGTCAAAACAGTTGCAGCGCACAAAGTGATAAGTGACATAACATTGAGTGAAGCAAACTACAGCGTCGTTTTGACATACTGTTTTCATGTATGTGTTCTGAGTCAAGATTTCAGCACTGCTACTTAGTTTTCAATGTAAGGGATCTAACTACGCACTGCCAACCTATACAAGTTGACCAGGTCTAGCAATACAAATACATCGAACCCTGACTTGTGGCAGAGCAGGTTTGTTTTGTTGATCAAGTTCTCAGGAAAGCAGGGAGGAGGTGTGGCCGCTTCAGGTGGAATTCCCCTGAACTCACCTGAATCCGCCCCCCTTCACAGGAGTATAAATCTCAACAGGTGGTTCAAAACAGCAGCAAGAGCATCTTAGCCTCAGAGACAGAGACGAGGAGCCTGGAGATTAAAACACTCAGAGTCCTGGAGACTTTTTCTTAAGCATCACATTGTGGCTCGTGGTCTAATCAGGTAAAATATATCAGTTAACTAATCAATTCAAATGTAAGTGTTCATGTTTCAAACAGTGCTGATTTTTATTATTTCTAAAAAAGCTTGAGAAAACTAAACACATGTTTTAATTTATTATTAGATTCTGTTTAAATGAGTTTGAAAGTGGTGTGTTAACATGTGCCTTCTTCTATGTTTCCCAGTGTCTCCATGTCATCACAGTGCCTGAGCAGCATCCTAACTAATGCCAACCTCGCCATGTATCAGACTGGCCCCCTCGAGGTCCTGCCGCAGCAGCTCCCCAGCATCAACAGCCTTCAGATCAGCAGTTTAGCCTACAGCTCCAGCATGAGCGGTAAGAGGAACACCAGCGGCTGCTGAGAGCCTCCTCTGTGTCTCATGGTGGTTGATGAGATGTGTGACACCAAAAGAATGAAACTGTAATGTGTTGGCTGTGAACGCTTTGTTCACTTTTACAGTCCGGTCTGAGTTTCGTGGACAGTTTCAGATGAAGACTAATCTCACAGTCAACATGATCCTTTATTTCTCTCTGAGCTGGGCTTTGACCTCATTAAGACTGTGGCTCAATCATTTACCAGGCAGCCAATGTTTAACTCAGCATAACCGTCACATAGAGAAGGCTGCCACCTCAAAGTTGAAACAGTTAGAGCTTTGTTCGTCTGACCAGACACAAATCCAGAGTGATGATTCCTGCTTTGACAATATTCTTTGTTAATTAGATGCATGAGCAAAGATCAATATCTTATATTCAAATGTACAGTGTCTTAATCTTTGTCTCAGCGTCTTTAAAAGCTACTAAAGCTCAATGCTGGCCTGTGTAAATACTTGGTGGAGGAATCATTCTGTAAACAGACTCTCCATACCAGAATATGAAGTAATTGGCTGTGTGTCTGCAGGCCAGTGGTACAGGCAGGTCAGCCCGCACTGCTGGACAGCAGAACATGTTCTGGAATGGATCAGCGACCACGTGGAGAGCACCAAGGTTGATGCAAGCACCCTAAGCCTGGCTCTCTGCAGCATGGACGGGCCTGCTCTCTGCCAGATGAGCAGGGAGCAGCTGATCGGGGTCTTCGGCCCACAGCTCGGCCTCCAACTGCACCAGAGTCTGCAAGAACACAAGACCAAATATGGTAAACTAAATCCGCCGTGTTGGAATGATTTTAAAAAAGTGCAGAGGTTAAATATATTAATATGAAATTGAAATTCATTTTATTTCGGTGCTGGACCTCAATTACAGTGCTAAGATTCATAAGTACAAAAGTTGTGTGTCCATATACAATCAGACATGCATATGCTGTGTTGTACTTTTCTTCCCCTGGATGAATGTTATGACTAAAATGTTTCTTCTCATGTCCTTCTTCTTGCAGAGCTGCACAGCCTGTCAGGACCGGAGCTGAGCGAGACCTGCCAACTGCTGGACCACTTCCTGGACAACCTCAACTATCCTTTGCTCAGCACCATTAGAATTGGCCAAGGTACATTTTGTATAGTGATGTTGCATAGAAGCATAAGATCCATAGAGTGTGAACATGATAGGGCTAATGCTGCGACTCACCACCAACAGCTGAAGAAGCCATTAGCAAGAGGGACTTGGACTACAGGGATGATTATGAACTGACTAGTCTGAGCATGGGGCCACTGGAGGACCTGTCTGATAACCAGTCTGACAGCGAGCTCAGCTCCTCCTCCAACAGTCAGTACTTCATCCTCTTCATGTCAACTCTTCTGTCTCTCAGTGTAAAGAGGCTGTGCATCTGAACCATGCCTCTGCTCTGTTTAGGTGGCATGTTTGACTTCACAAGTCTCAGCTCACAGGAGTCTGGAGAATCAGACCCAGAGTTCTCCTACCCTCTGATTTCAAGTGAGTATGCAGAACATCTCATATGGTCCTTTGGATTGGACAAACTCTAAGGTTACCGTCTGACAATATACTGTTGTGTTGACAGAGAACCACATCAAAACGGAAAAAGGAGAGTCTCGACTGAAGCGGCCCCGGGGGAGACCTCCCAAAGTCAGCAGAGAGCACAGCTGCAGCAGTTATGAGAATCACAAAAAGAAACAACACGGTAAGGCTACATGTAAAACACTGCTCTGGATGTGAACTCTGCTTTGCATCTTCATCAGGCTGCATATCTGTTTAGCTGGCATGCTTCTGCTTTGCATCAATGCACACACAAACACACATTGAGCTCCTTTTGCTAACTGTCTGCAGCGCCCCGTGGAACTCACCTATGGGAGTTCATCAGGGACATTCTGATCCACCCCGAGAGGAACCAGGGCCTGATGAAGTGGGAGGACCGCCGGGAGGGTGTCTTTAAGTTCCTGAAGTCCGAGGCTGTGGCCCAGATGTGGGGCCAGAAGAAGAAGAACAGCAGCATGACGTACGAGAAACTCAGCCGGGCCATGAGGTGAGTTCATGAAGCAGCTGATGTGAAACTCCAGCTGTTCTGCATTGTATCTCCCTGAATCTCAAAGGGTCCACCATTAATATGTGGAAAAGAAGAAGAGTCATAACACACTCAACATTTAGAGCTGTATAAATAAGAGGTTGAAACATAAAAGACCATTGAAGCTTGTGAGGTTACATCCTAAAGCTACACTGCTATACTTGATATGAACAAAGCACTCAAGATAACTCATTTGTCAGCTCCCCCAATCGGTGTGGACAGGCTCAGTAATATTATCTGTGACTTATTGATCGACCCTGCACTTTTAAATTGTCCCCTTTAATCCTGGTCTGCTCACTAGAAGAACCATCTTGTTAATGAGCCCCACAGCTGCTTTTGACATCAGTACTTCCGAACAATTGATTTAGATCTGGATACTTAATGTGTTTAATTGGCACTAACTGATCACCTTCCCCTTCAGGTATTACTATAAAAGAGAGATCCTCGAGCGAGTCGACGGCCGGAGGCTTGTTTACAAATTTGGAAAAAACTCCAACGGCTGGAAGATGGAGGAGATGGGAATGGGCATGTGAGGCCCAATCGTTGGGCGGTGGCTACAATCAGAGCAGTTGTTCCAGATATAATATCTGTGTGGCCTCTCTGAAGATAAACTGAGTAGCTGCCCTTGATGTTTAAGACACTCACTTCCTCTCAAAAGGAAGGTGTTGCAGAAAATGTAAGCCATCGTTTTTGGCTGTAGTAGGTTTTATGAACCAATGTTAATATTGTACCTATTTTGCCTTTCTGATCTCCAGTGTAAAAACTGTACATAGTAACGAAAAGTAATATCGTTTGGACACTTGTGAGTTTCTGTAAGTCACTAAATGGTGACAAAAGAACAACATTCACTCTTCTTTAGTGGTGTAGGACTCACCCTGGTCTGTCACTATGAATTGTGTTTAAGCATATGGGAGTTGTTGACTATTTTGAGGCACTAAAATATAATATCCTTTTTCTGATATTACTTTTATTTTAAAAGGGTGAATCATTGGTTTTACATATAAATGTAAAATCAGTTTTAGATTCTGAATGTCATACTGGTGAAGGACAGATCAGGAACAGAGAGCACTGGTGAAATGAATACAGAAATGATATGCACTACATGTCTATTGGTATCACTTATTATAAAGTGTATTTACACAATGTATAAAGCAGGTTCGATGAATGAGGGTGACCTATAAAAACAGTTTGCCAGTCAGTTGCACACTGTCACTGTGTGTATGTGATTTATTATTGTGTTAATGTGAGTGATGAATTCATGTCATATTGATTCGTTGTATTGTGATTTTTTTTAATGCTGTACTTATAAAGAATGTGAAAATTGATAATTGTGAATGTCAAACTTACATGATACAGTCACCACCCAGATCACAGGATTTCTTAAATAAAACATCTATTTTGACTAAGAGTCTTTTTTATGGCAATTTTGCATTTAGTAGAAACAGAACATTGTAGGTCATAAATGCCACCAGGAAATGTATCAAGTTGATGAATTACATTAGGGCTATTTTGTGTGTGTTATACGTAGTAAGTCTGAATATGCAAATCATTCATTATCTCTTCAAATGTGTGATAACTTGCATACATTGAATAAATCGAGGTTTAGATTATTCTTTTGCTTACGAATTGATATGTCAGATTCTGAATTTGTAAAATGTTAACATGGTGAGATGTGGCTCTAAAAAGCACTCATCACATGGTTGACAGTTATCACAGCTGAAAACATGTGCAACCCTAAAGCCAATATATACATATTCATCTCCTCTGCCGGGCCCAGGAGGCGAATTGGCAGCGCTCCAGCTACCGGTCCGCTCCGTACAGAACCGGCTCTGGTTCTTAAGCCAAGTCCCTACAGACTGAGCTATGCCGCCGCAGTATATTAAAAGTATAAAATAATTTATAAAAGGGTCTGAGATACTTCTGCTGTAGTGCTTCATAAAGGAAAACTGACTTTTTTTCTAAATTGTGCCACACAAACATAGCAAAGACAATTTGTGCTTAAGGCATTTCGGCATGGATACAGGAGGAGCTGGCAGTTAAACCAACAGCACTGCTACATTCACTTCCGTTTCAAATCAATCATACTTTATCTACCACCTGGGTCAGAATATGCTTTTGACTTTCACATCATGTATTGCATGCACCCTCTCCTGTGGTGAATCCAATGGGCATATAACTCTGAATTGTCCTGTGAAAACCAGGGCTCCAACAGGCTCAACAGAATCATCCTAAAGTGGCTATAGAGTCCCAATAAATGGACTGAAGGGATACAACGGGATGACAGTCTTGAGTTATAAACGGACAGAATATGCTTTTTATCCTGCACTCCAGTTGAGAATAGAGAAAAGAAAGAAGCAACATGTAGCTATGTTCATCATGATAACATAACCTCATACGGATCTGTCTTGTGGACTCACCAGAGTGATGCCATTCAAATCTGTAAGTCTTATTTACTAGATGGTACAAAATGCCAGTGTTGCAAAATATCAACCAAACACTTGCATTTCAGCTTACAAATGAACCATGGAATAGAATGGGAGGATGAAACCCTCTTTAATGGTCTCACATGCAGAGCACACAGTGACATGTGGCCTCTGCTTTTAACCCATCCTAGTACCAGGTGTCTAGTACTAGGAGCAGTGGGCAGCTATTGTACAGCGCCCGCGGAGCATGGGAGTGGGGGCCTCTGCTTTCACTGCCACCCTTCTGGCAGCGCACCCGACCCCATCGCTGTTTCCCATAGGTGGTGGGCCCGCGGGACGGAGTTTGTTTTATCTGAGTGTTGCAGGTACTCTGAATACCTTGAAGGCCCCACTGGTGTAATAACATTAAAACAGCACAGTTACTAGTGGTCCTTGAAAGATGTATGGAGCCTCTGACTATGGACACACTTATCAGTGTAACATTTGTATATGTGCAACATTTAGTATCACAACAGGGCTTTGTGGTTTACACACCTCTGTCTGTTTATGCCAACTGACACTGGCAGGCTCTGGGTTTTGGTTTCAGCTTGGTGTTCAACAGGTCTGGCCTGTTGTGGAAAACCGGGCATGATAACACCTGGATGGATTGTCTGTTGAATAAAAATGTCCTTGTGCCAATGACTGTCATTAAGACCTGTCTCCAGTGATTCTCATTTGTATCTGCCGATCTGGAACAATGCAGGAACTAGTGTGGTGTTCAAGTAGAAAAAAGAGATGTAGTGCCAGAATGCCAGAGGGTTATGAAAGCAATGAGCTGGCAGCTCTCAAATACACAAATAGGTTTCCTGTGGACGCTTCAATCAGCAATTTGCACGGACTGTTGTGAATAATAAATAATTCATTTATTTTATATAGGCGCATTCCAAGGCTCTCAAGGTCGCCGTACAAACACATAAAAAACAAGATACACAATAGATAACACCAGCATAAGAGACATCAACAAGACAATGCAGTTTATCAATCAATCAAATAACCAAATCTATAAAAACAGAGGATGTGTGATGGATAATGATCGGGGTGGATATGCGAGTGTGAAGAGATATGGTTGTTGTGATTGGAAAACACCTGTTGCTGCGGTTGCTACAACATTTATTGTAATTCCAAATAATTAATTGTTTATTTATTTAGCATATAATGTGTGAATTAACAGAGTGAAAATGTAACTTCCCCTCAAAGATGAATAGAGTTTGTCATCTTCCTTCTTCTTGTATTGTTTGTATATTACATTTGGTTTGTTTAAAATGCTCTATAACTCTAGAGTGAACGAACCAGACTACTAGACTGTGACCATCTGCTTCCTTCCTCTGGTGCTGTTTATCTGTGATCTGAGTGCAAGGAGTTTTTCTGATAGCAGATGTGTGATTTTGTAAGTGAAATGTATGCAAGACAACTTCTTTCATACACCAGCAGGTGAAACGAGATACTAAGGCCCTGAGAGACCACAGCTGTGGGCAGAAAAGCATTTTTCTGTCTTTGCTGCATTTAATGAAGTGCAACACCATTCAAATCATAAATGTATTACCACTCATGGTAATCTAACTTAACTCTCACTGACATTCTTAGACCTGTTAATGAACATTCTCAGTAGAGCACTCCCTAAACAAATACTCCCGCATGAGTACACACACACACACACACACACCTACCATCTCCTCCTATTAGGTCAACATACTTGTCTGGCAGGTAGATTTGGCCACAGGCCAGAATCGGTGTTTATCACGTAGCTTACTGGAAACTCCACGGTCTGTGCCAGAAAAACACAGGAGGGGGGAGGGGGGATTTTTTACTGCTATGATCTCAGTGCATTGTCACTGGATAAACACAGAGTCATTACGCCTTTCTCAAAAGTGAATTATTAACCTCTCCCACTTTGATTATGTGCACCACTCTCTCCCACTATGTGGAATGAAACGACACTCGCACACACACACACGCTCAAACAGTTCAAACACACACATGCACAACACATGCTTTAATGGAGAGGTGTCAAAGTGAAGGGGTTGTTTCACGCTATTTTGGTGCCATGCTCAAGGACACCCGGCACTGCCTGAGAAGGGATTTGACACTGCTACCAGTACACACAGTGTGGTTCCCTAGCCAAGCCTCTACGGACTGAGTTACGTCCTGCCTGACCATTATCCCTACTAAAGACACAATACAATATTACATGTGTAGGTAGGACTCTCCTGGACCTGCCGATCACTTACTACCAAAGGTGTGGGCTCGAGCCCCGTGACCTGGACTCGAGTCAGACTCGAGTCACACATTGTATGACTCGACAAAATCACAAAACACTTGCAACTCAACTTGGACTTGAACACCAATGACTCTGGACTGGACTTGGACTTGAGCCTTCTGACTTGAGATGACTTGATACTTTAAGAAAATAAGTTTGCCGCGATATATTTTCCGAATCAACAACCCCTAGCAACCTATTTAGGTTGCAAGACAGAGTTGTGGCCATGACGCTGCGTTACCCAGAATCCCACAAGCTAAACAAATTATTCCTAAGGTAATCGCATTTGGCTACAGAAACTAGGCCGTTGTATACTGTTGCATTGAATATACAACGTTATGTTGGCACTACAGGAGCTAAATCACTAGGATAGCGTAATGTGGCCGTTCTCCAGTATGCGATCCAGTTGATGTGATTTGATTATGTGCGCTGGAAAGGCACATAAAGCATTGATTATGGTTAAAGTGGTCATGTGGAGGGCGCCATATGAGGCTGGTCCATGTGTCACATTGCCAAGTTGATTTGGAGTTTCTTAAAGAATATTGCAGATAATAGCTATAAAATGTTTTTATGAATCAGAATATATTTTGTTGAGCACATATTTCCTCAATCATCAATCAATCAAAGTCTATTCATATGGCCCAATATCAAACATTGTACTTGTACATTTACTGTGGATGCTACGCTGCTATGTTTTATACATGACACCCTATTTTTCTCCTATGATCTATTAAACTTGGCACCCTCAGTGTTACATTGCACTGTGTTATCAGGCCAGCCACGTATAACTGCAGACCTGTTGGTCCTGAATGGAGGGGAGGGTGTATTTAAGAGGGTTTGTTGTGGTCATAAATGAACTACAGAAAGTTAAAGTTTACTAAATAATTTCAAATCTGTAGCTATGGCGACAGCTATAACCTGTGTAAAACACTTGGTCCTGTTGTCTTAAAAGTCAAGAAAGGGTTTTGTTCTTGAGCCAGAGGCCTCGAGCCTTTAAAGGGATACGTTGGTGTTATTTTGTGTTGTGTTGTTGCTTCACAACACACACTTACTTAAAGGCTAGAATCATAGCTTAGGGCACACCACATTGCGCTCTGTCACCCTCTACACCAGGGGTAGGCAAGTAAGTTTGGCCGTGGGCCAATTTTTTGCTGAGCCGCAAGATGGCGGGCCAGAACATAATCAAAGCCTAATTCAAGGAATTTATTTTGGTAAGAGGGCGCAGCGCCCCTGTTCGCCCAATCCAGAGCCTTTGGCTAGACCCGCCCAAAGGGAGGCTCGTCCTCTCTAGCCCCATTTCAGTCCCAAAGCCAGGGCTATTATCTGTATTTTAACAGACTTATCTTTTAAATTGAGGTGTATTTATTGTTCTCTTCAAAGTTTATTTTTCTCTGAAATTGTAGGGAGGATGGTCCTCCCTTTCCTCAATGGATGAGCCTCCACTGAGTAAAGTAACTAGCAGTGTTATTTAACATACTTTTATTCTGATAAGTATTGTCAAGTTCTCTGGGTTTTTGGCATTTATTTCAGTGTTTGCACATTTGAGAGGCTTGAGGGGCAAAGGGGACGCATGGACAACTGGAATCCTTTTTCCAACTTTTCAAGGACACATTAGGATTCTTTCAGGTTGAAAACCTTTAAAAAATATCAAAGGACAAAATAAATCAATTACAGCATGTTTTG